AGCTTGCACCTTCCTGGAACTGTTCCCATAGCAGGTCTTTCTTTAGGAACAAAGCCAAAAACCCATAGAAAAGGTCTAAAAAAGCTCCAGAGCAAACTTCTCATATCTTCTCCTGCCTGTTAAGGCCTTCTCTATGGAGCATGAGACAAAGACAGGGGTCATGGGAAGGAGCCACTCAGGCAATGGCCTGTGTCAGTGTGTTGTGGTGGGATGGGTGCCTCCAGACAGTAGCCTTTGGGTGGGTGCCTTGGCTCTGGTCACCGGCTTGCCACCGGTGGATGAACCCCAGGCTTGTCCAAGGGACAGCTCTCCATGTTGTCCACCCCAGTGTGCGAACGTTACCTGCAGACGTAGTTTTCCCGGCAGGAGTCCAGAGGCGCCAGGCAGTTGGGCTTCTCCTTGGACTCGTAGGAGCAGGCAGGAACGATGGTCTGCCGCCGGCGTTCGGCACAGGCTGGGTCATCGCAGGGGCAGAAGAGAAGCTCGTGGGTGTACTCGGGCGGCACACGGTCGAAGAACTTGCGCAGAGCCTTGTGGCACTTGGAGCGGTTGCAGGTGTCAGCCCGGGCCAGGCGCCGGATGCAGAAGGAGACGTACTCTGTCCGCAGCCGCTGGCACATCTCGTCCATGTTGCAGGCTTTGGCGGCATCCAGACACCGGTTCACCTGGGTCACCTCGTTCTCAGACCCTGTGGGGTGGTGGGAGATGGTGATGTGGTTTTGAGCTGACCTCCCCGACAACAGCACTACCCTATGCTGAGACCTTCACCCCCATCCTGCTCCCATCCATGGCCACCTTGGTGAAACCACCACCCACTCCAGCAAGGCAATGGCCAGGGTGAAGTCCACATTTGCTCTCTGTGTTCTGGCATGACCAAATCTACTTTACCTACTCACCTCTCCCAAGAGATGCCACAGCCACACAACAAACCTCATACCCCTGAGCCCCCTCCAGCAACTTCTTACATTTAGTAAAATGAAGCTTTTCCCTAACCTGGGCATCTCATAACACCTTACCAACACGAATTAACCAACTTGAGGCCTGGGGAGACCGCAGCCATTAGAAAGTCTGTCTGCTTATGGCCACGACTGGATCCACCGGTGTGATGGGATCTCTTCTAATGGACCTCCTTTTTCCAAAACCTTGCTCAAGACCAAACACTGAGTTAGTGACACAGTTGAGTCTCCTGATACATGGGTGGTTTGCACTAACACTTGCACCCCAGACTCTCTACCCCATGCAATGAGTTTCCTCAGGCCTCCAGAGGGTCAAGTCTGGCTTTGCCAGCAGTTGTGCTATGTTCATCCTGGGACCTGCCCAGTTAAGTGAGAGCTGTCTGGGTCTCAAAGCACTACGACAGTGCTCTGACTTCCCCCATCCAGACCAGTCCTGCCCAGTATGCCCATCTTCTAAGCAGTGACACTGCCTTCGTGGGATGGGGATCAGAGCTACAATCCAGCCTGATGTCCTGGGGCCTTGATGCTGCCTGCGTGTGGGCACATGTGGGTCTCTCCCCACACCCTTTGCCAGGTCACCCCTTTGCTGGCTTCAGCGAAATTGCTCTGCGTTTCCACCCTCTTAAAGAAGTGGGCAAAGAGAGTCCCAGATTAGCAGTCTGGGTGGGAGAGAAGGGGTGGGCTGTGGGGCTGCAGGGAATGTGGAAAAAATCCCACAACAGTGAGGACAATAAAGCAAAAACTGTGGTGGTGGATGAGAAAAACACTGTCTTCAGTAGGCACGTAGGGTTCTCACGAGTTTAGATCCCAATGACCTCCTCTGCAAATAGGGAACAGATAAGAGTGAAAGATATTTGTATAACACTGATTTTAGGGCTCCTTCAAAGATGATTTGGGCTCTTTTTGTGGAGGGGGGAAATGCTACCGAGTCCCTGGTAGGAGTCATCTGAGACATTAGGTTCTGTCTGATCGTAGAGATAAGATGAAGGTTCTCCAAGCGTGAGAGAGAAAATGAATCTGAAGCCTTTTTTCACCTCTCTGAATTAAGCCCATGACCTAATGCACAGTAGAAGGACTTTCTCCCCAGCAGAAAAGGATTTGTCACAGAGGAAAAATCCCCACAATGATAAATTTCCAATGCAGAGTCAAGCCCTATCTTTGGCCAGGAGTTAAAACCAGCCAGTCACTGCTGACAAGTGTTTAAACATTGACAGTCTCTCTGAGCACTTCAAAACTGGTTGCCGTCCTTCATTTTCACTGGCATTATCAGATTCTCCTTCTCTGAGTATTTATTTTTCCCTTCCCATTGTCCCTGATGCTTGCGGTGAGCTAGAAGTCAAATTCCAAGTTTAGCAGTTATTTTATGACGGGTGAAACTGATGGTCGGTGTTCCTACCACGTAGATACTTCCCTTTAAAGATGCCCAGAGATGAACATTGTTAAAGCATCAGTTTACGCTGGGGAGTGTCAGCAAACCTGTAGGAAACAGTTACTTGGAAGGGTTTCATTACCCATTCAGCTAATGAATCACAGGGAACACGGCAGCTTTTCTCCTCTTCCCACACAACGACGGAGGATGTGCTTTTTTAAATCACCACTACAATTAGAGTGGAGGGATATAATTCCATTTGTACATTTTTAACTGTGGCCATATGTAGTTTATGCAGAATTGGGTGAAAAATATCTGTTGCTCCTACTTGGCATAGAGTCATGGGAGTGTCGTGTGTTTCAACAAGTTCTTGGGAATTTTTTTTTTTGGCAGATTTGAGAGAGGATCCTTTGGCAATGCTGACCTTATGATCCTGGGCACCGGACAGGCACAGCATGGCAGGTCATAAGTTATGTTATAGAAGGTGTCGATGAGTATAAATAGGGGAAAAGAGGTTAAACCACGAAACGTCATGTGCCTAGATGGATGCCGAGTCCTTTGGTACATATCCCTGCTGCTCTGGCCCCATTTGCTTTGCTGCCCAACCAGTTTCAGTTTGCCTTAAAAACCTGACAATGTGTTAACGATGCATAAAAATCCCCGTCCTTGGATTTTGCCATGCTCTGAAGAGCCCTGTATGACTTCCAGTGAAAAAGGAAAAGCTCCAGTAAAGAAGGCCATGACCCGGCAAACAGCTTTGTGCATGCTTCACTTTCCATGCTCAAATCAGTCAAGTGGAGTCAGCAAGGAGACGTGATGTCAGGGAGCACCCCCCTTCCCCTCGCTGCTCAGATTGTCGAGGGCTGATGGGTTAATTTGCTCCCGGACATTTTCACCTAACAAGTGCTCACCAGCGCAGGGACTGCAGACACCCGTCGGCTGCAGGGACCTGCTGCTCCTTACTCCCTTGGGTGCACTCCAGCTGTGGATGCCACCCCAGAGTCAGGTGCACATTTGGGAAGAGCTGCAGCGGGACTGCTGCTTTGGCACATCTGCCAGAGACACACGAGGAGTACGTTACCTGCTCCCAGACAGGTAGTCTGGTAACAAAAATCACTGTCAATAAAGCTTCCCCATGGCTGTGGTGCATAAGCACAGTCAAATGCTGGTTGTGGTGGCAGCTGTGGTGTTGGTGATGGATGGCTTAATAGCTACCGCATTGACCTTTTAACTGCTGAGCTGGGGGTTCATGCCCTCGAGGGGGTTAAAAGGTGTTGGGCAGCTCTGCTCACGTTATTAAGCAGATTACATGATGCAGAGCAGAACATGGGTCTGAGTCCTGAGGTTGCCCTCAGGGCATGGGGTTAAAGGCTGTGGCTGGGATCAACCGGTAGGTCGAGTTATTGACCTTTTTGCCTGCAGAGTTTGACACTGTGACTGATGTGGAAGCACCTCCTCATATTTAACAATACCCTAGCAGCTCCTGCTCGGCAGGTTGTCTGCATGGCACAGGTCATCCACTTGCTATGGAGAATCAGCCAATTTGTGATGGCTCGCTGGAAGAGGCCGTCCCACCATGCCCCTCAGTCCCAGTCCTTCACAGTATGGACATGAAGAAGCCAAAGAACGAAAATCACAAGTGCTTCCTCCTAGGACATGTTCTTCTACCAACAGTTTAGCACAGGAATCATAAGCAGCTCCTTGGAAAAATGATTGCAAGGTCTCAGCAATGCTTTGTGAAGAGACTAAAAGAGATCGTAAAGGACTGCCTTTTCCATAGCACTTGATCCTACAGCCAGTTCCCCCCTAGTTAGAACCAGTAAGTGCAAGAGCATCTTCCCACACACCTACCTGCGGTGATGGATGCCAGCCGGACGTAATCAAAGCCTCTGATGAACGGCTCATAAGGGGAACTCTCCAGTACATTCATGCCTGGGTTGAAAACAGAAGTTAGTGAGAAGGCAGCTGACGTTCCTGAGGGATGTCCGAGATATATGAGGTTCAACAGCTGTAGTGAAGGTTTGCTTGGTGAGTCCAAGAGGATGTATGCTCTAAAGGCCATAAGTAAACAGGTACCCAGACTCACAGGAACTTATGTATGACCATATACTAAAGAAGGGAACAGAATGTAACTGGCTTTCAAAAATATATCACAGCTTTGGAGCAGAACAGCCTCTCAAGGAACTGTTGAATTGCAACTCTCGAGAACTCAAGTCTTGGGCCCCTTTACAGGGTTGCCACTGAGGACACCAGACTCTAGCACAGGCTCTTGTTCATGGGCAGAGTTCAAACCACCAGCTCCCCACATACATGGGGCTTCCATCACCATTCTTGCTATTTTCTATACATCCCTCCCTCGGTCAATGGTTCTGACCTATTTCTAGGACACAGTCAGGGCTGTGAACAGGGTTGTGTGTGTGGGAACACATGCCTTCATAATCATGAACATCTCTCCCTTTCTCCTAGTCAACAGCCCTGTCTTACTTGACGTGGAGCTAATGACCCATAGCTCCCATGGAAACTTCCCTTCTTCATTTTTAAGTTGCCAGGAAGCTAATTTTATTCAATTGGTTCTTCCTTTTCATCCGCTCAATGGTCTGTAAGTCCCCGTCATCCTGATGGATGCCACAGAATATTATTGAAGCAAACAGCTCGGTATTTTTTTTTTTTATATTAGACATTTAGATGGATATGGACAGCAACAGCAGATGTACTGGCTGGGATAAAAGAACTATCAAACCTCATGCTCCGGGCATATGCTGATCACCAGCTGTGGTCAGGAAGAAATGGCTCCCAGGGTACACAGCCCTGTGCAATTACCACAGGTGCATTACAAGGCAGCTTTACACCTTCATTGAAATATCTTGCATCGTTACTGGCTGGAGAGGGGCCCATTTCTATGTTCCAGAGTAGCAGTTTTATGTCCTGATGATATAGCACCTTATCAGACAATTGTTATCGGGTTGTCATCATGTTATTGTGTCTTCAGATGCGAAGGTGGCTAAACACAGGCGCGCTCAAGAGAAGCTGAGTAAATAGCGTGCTTTGTAAATTCCCTGAGCACACACTTCCACAATTGATTTTATAAGAGGGTTTCTAGGAAGCTTTTTACAGCCTCCTGGGTATGTATGACTGAGAGACAAAGCTCTGCGCGGAACATGTGGGTTGGCTTCCATTCTCAGTCAATTAAACATGTGTAAGGACTCTGAAACGTGTGACTATTATGAAATATATTTCCCCAGGGAAATTAAGGCGAGGAAATCAAAGGATTGGGAGTGTGAATCTGCATTGCAAGTGAGCTCAGTGCTTGAAAAAATGTGAGGCTCAGGACAGGACAGCAGAGCAGAAGTAGGGCAGAGACTTGTATGTCTCCGATGACAGTCCCCTCACAAGTCATCTCCAGGATGGAGGTCCCAAGCCGCTGGGCAGGGTGCCCGTCTAACCTGGCCATCCAGCATCCATCTCCTACTCTGCATCTGGAGACCCACACCTGGCCCCTGCCTGCTCCCAGCACTCCCTGCCTTCCTCTCCCTGCTCTTCCAGCAGTGGTTCCAGAGCTGGAAGTCCTCCTGACACCACTGTCCTGCACAGCCACGTCGCAGACGAGCTGTGTCCATACCTTCAGGCCAAAAAGGTCAGCGGGGAAGAAGTTGTGACACAGCCTGTTAAGACAAACGGAGAGGCTGGATTGTCACCTCTTCCCCAGGCTTCACTTCAATGCAAACAAATTCACCTGGCAGGTAATTGTGGGGAAGATTGGATCCTGGAGGGTGCTGAGGTCTCTTATTTCCCCAGTCAGTTCATAGCATCATGCTCTGCACCCTGCAAGCTGTCGCACCTGAAAGCTTTCCGGGAACTTGATCAAGCAGTTCCCATTCTGGCAAGCCTGTACATTACAGTCTCCATTCTCTTTGTTTTGCTTGGCCTTTTGGCCTGTGTTATCATCACCCCTGCACCTTCCCTTTCAGCTTTCAGCCAGCAGTGTTTTATTAATCTATTTCGCAGCCCATGGCTGGAAGGTTCTGTTTTATTCCCCGCTTTAATTTTCATGGTGCATAAAATACTCACCAGCCTGACAAGGAAGAGTTATGGCCACTGAGGTGCACTTTTATGATGACTCTTAAAAAACGTCAAAATCCAAACTTACTAAATACCGGCTCTGGGAACACTTTAAATTCCAACTTGATGTCACCAGCCCCAAATCTTCACTAACCCAAAGACAGTGATGCATTTTTGAGCCTCCAAGAGAGTGACTTTTTTTTAAGTTCATGTTGGTTTTTTTCCTTGATGCCCATGCTTTGTATAGTGTTTCTGTAAAATCCATGGCTTCCACGGTCTTGGCTAGCATACTGAGATGTAAAACATACCATGCATTTCCGCAGCGAAAGATCTCAAGGTATACTGGGAATGTCATAGAAGAGAGGCCAGGTTAAAAAAAATGAAGGAGGTGTCTCAGATTTTCAGGATTGCTTTCCCCAAAATGCCGTTAGCTTGGGGATCAGTAGGTCTTGGGAGGGAACAAGATACTACAAGGGTGACCTTATTTGTGGCCATTTGGGTTCTGGGGAGCTCTACAGAAAGCCCAAACAGTAATTCCCTTTTAGGAAGATCATCAGAAATGAGTACCCTGCTCGACTGACCTTCCATCAACGTGTGGTGGATGCTCCAGTAGACACTCAAGCAGTGCTTCTCCTTTTTCATGCCTCGCTTACACTTGCAGCCATATAGCTGGCTGGAGAGCAGGGCTGTCACGGTGCTCCGGCACTGGTTCTTGGCATCAGGGCCCAGCTTGTTGGCTCCATTGCCTGCGATGCATTGCCGGAGGGTCCTGAATTTGGCGCTGCAGATGGGGTCATTGGTGCAGGACTCTCCTGCTTGAAGGCAGTCCCTGCTCGAGCTGACAGCTTCTGCCATACCTTCTGCAAGAAAACCAGAGAAGGGGTTTGAGGGTGATGGAGCAACCCCAGGTGGGAAATAAATTTTGTCTCCCATGAGCTGGACCAGGCTGGGATGTCCATCTTCATGTGCATAGAAATCTTTCTCATCACCATCCACTCTATAAGCAACAACTCTGCTTCTTTAGATGGGCACATCCCTCCCAAGCAGGTCAACTGGAGGGTTTAAGTGCCCAGACTTGCCACTCCTGCTCATGGATCACCCCCATGATGGGGAGCACTGGCTACTTGAGTGTACTGCAGCACTGCTCAGCAGCATCGCAGAGGAACGGGAGTGGGTGAAAGGAAGTTGGAGGGATGTAAGGAGATAAGACACAAACTGACATTCAACACCTCAACCCAGCACTCTCCCATATTGCTGGACCACCAGCAGCAGTGAGATGCATGTGGCGTCTAGCTGAGGAGCCAGAAGGAGAGGTCACCTCCCTCCTGGAGGCCAGACTTTTCTTAATTTCAGAGAGTGACCCTAGATGGGGTCAGTCTCGAAGCAGGATTATATGTGACCAGTTCCTGGTGCTTGCTCTTTCCTGCTTGGAGCACAAAAGCTGTCCAAGCCTTTTGCTTCTCCAGCTCCTTATCTCATTTCTCTCATCTGATGTTAACAACACACCAATGCTATGGAGACCCCAGCATCTGCTCCTTGCACATGATTTAACTGTGCCTACACCTCTCTGAAGCTATGAATGGCTCTCTGTGGGGTGTTTGGACATGGAGTCAGCCCACATGTGTCCCAGGAGTTGTCCCTTGTTCACTGTCACCACCTCCCCAGGACTCCCCCTGTTTTGCCTTGGCTTTTTCCAAGCTTCTGTAAATTCTCCTCAGCGACTTCTAGAAATACCAGAAGTGCTCTGTTCCCCATGCTGAAAGGACAGAGGATAGCACAGGAGGAAGACGTTATCGCTACGTGTACACCCATAAATTAAACATGGTGTGTGGGGCTCTGTGGTGGTGTGCCCCCATCTCCTGGAGCAGACCATTTCCATGCTATTAAATGCTCTTCCTCTCTAAAGCAGGCTGGCCATGTCCAGAGTGACTCCCGGGGATGTGCTCACACCAGGGCTCACGGCTGCATCGCTGCATCCCGGCAATGGCAGGGCCAGAGGCTCAGCTGTGCTCAGCAGGGCATGGGTGATGGAGAGGAGATGGGGGCCAAGACAAGGCAAATCGCACTATTTCCAGTTGGTGTGGTGTTCTGGAGCATGTTGACATAGGTCAGGCATGACTGCACCACAGCCTGGGGGAGTGATGAAGAGGGAAACCTGGTTTATGGAAGGGGAGAATCAGTCCCTGGGCCTATAACATAATTTTGGATCCTGCTGTACTGTAAAAACAGAAACCGCTGTCATGACCTTGAAGAAGGACTTCTCAAATATTTCCCAAAGGAACTCCTTGTCTCTAACATAACTTGTCTTCTCTTTGGATAGGAACCAGAGGGATAAGGACACCTTACCCTTCACAGAGTAGATAAAGCGGGGGCACCTTCTGGTTTTTGGAGCCTCTGAAGAGTCTGTTCCTGGTGAGACCGTACTTGGAGAATATTAGAAAACCCTCTCTCCTGAGAAAAATGTAGAGCCCTGATTTCTGAGGGCTTCATGAGATCTCCCCTCTCTCCAAGAGTCTAATGATCTCTACTTAAAGTCTTTTTCCTCCTTCCACCTGTTACCTCTCTTGCCCTGAATTCCTACACCTGCTTCTGCTGCCCTCCCAGTTCAGCCTGTGAGCCCAGTATATCCATTTCTCTTCCCTCAGCAGTCACAGAGTGTTTGCTAAGAAGGAGCTGCTTCTGTTGATTAGAGTAGAAAGTAGCAGCTGGAGTTCAGGTATTTCAATTATGTTTATTACAAACTTTGGGTGAACCCACCAGGAGGTTTCCTGGTGAAATATCCCAATGGCATCTCAAATGCGAAACCTTTCATCAAACTCCAGACTATTTCGAAGTGCCTCATGGCCAACGTCAAGCTTTCAGTTATTTCAAATCTCAGAACACCTCAAATTTGAGCTCTCCTACCCCTGATTTATTCATAGACCTGGTTTATTTAGCACTCAAGGCTTATTTGGATCTGCCAAATGTGGAGAGAGAAATTATTTCCAACATATAGGAAACTCTGCCTTGGGCTGTCATATCTTGAAGAACTCTGAACACAAGGAACCAGTTTCCTTGAAATAGCATTTGGTCTGCAATTTCACCGAGATCCATAAAATGAGCCGGAGTTGCTCATAGTCTCTGCTTTCAGACACCATTGAATTTTCCATGCACGCATCTGAGCAGAATCCATAGGGAAAAAAGGAAAAAGTGCTCAGCTTATTTTGCCCTGGCTTCCTCCAAAGGATCTCTGCTGGACAAGGATAAAGCATGGCAGATTTTATTCTAGAAGAGATGACTTTGTCAGTGTCATGTCAGCTGCTAGAAAAGCAGGTTAAAATAGAAATTATGACCCTCCTTCCCCCTCTCCGCTACATGAATTGCAGAAGATACTCCCCAGGATGGTTATAAACACAGCCAGCCTGTAAAAGTTGTAAAACACTTTGGGATCCCGCTTTGAATAAATCAAGCAGATTGACCATTTGAGAAATTTTCCTGCAAAATTTTAAGTAAATATATCCTCAAGCTGAGACTTGCTTCATAGAACAAAGGTCAGGGGTGAATATTTACAGCCCGAGCCCAAAGCATAAAGCACCCCCGTTCAGACTTTATGACAGAGGTGCTTGAAGCAACTTGAAGTGGAGCGTCACGAATGACCCATTCCATAATCATGTCGCTTAAAAACCAAATCATTCAGGGGCTTTTATTGTTAGCGATGTCTTTGCAACTGAGACAACAGAACACCACGTTTTCCTCCTCACACTACCCCTGAGAGAGTAATTTTATACAAAATTAAAAAAAAAAGAAAAAAAAGTCTCTGTGACTTGTAAAATAGATGGTGCTTCCTAACAGGCAGGGACAAAAGCACAGTCAGGTCTTCTCTCCCAAACATGGAGTGGCCTTTCTGGTTTTGCCTTCAAAAATAGCACCTTGCAGACTCTCCGCCACGGGTTTTTTCTCCACCTCTGTCCTTGATTGACCAGGGTGCTCAGGTAATGCATCGGGTTGTGCACGGCTTGGGCTTTCCATGTCTCTGCTTTTCTAATAGCAGCCCTTCCAGCTCCCCCTGCTCTCTTTAAAAGGCCATTTGTCTGGATTTTTATTCCTCGCTTGCTGCTAATTTCACGCTGTTTACGGTGGGCAGATGGAGTAATGAGTTTATTTTCGCATCCTGTTTGTAGCTATGCTCCACATCTGTTTCTGGTCTTGCTTACCTCAGTGACACTTGCACAAAGTTACTCCTAATGCGTAGGAGTAAGACAAAAATCTGGCTCTTCCCATTGCCCTATCAGACCCTTGGTTCTTCTTATAGAGGTATCTCAAATGCGTTTTGTTGAACATGGTCTGGTTCTCCTCCAAGGAGACCATTTCCTTCACCAAGGCAATGCAGCTGTGCCTGGGGTACAGAAGTGTGAAGGTGACCCCATAAGGTCTGGAAATGGTGAACAAAATGCCTGGAGAGCACCAACATGGGGCCCTGCCACTCTGCCTGTCCGATCCAACCAACACTTGGGCTTCAGATGTTTTAGGAGGAACCAGCTTGTCTCTCATGGTGCTGGTCAGCCTGGGGCTTTGGGATACATCCCCCTCCCCTGCAGCTTTTGTATGTATTAGGTGTAAATCCTCTTACAGCCCTGATTCATGCACAGTCCTAGGGAGTGATGAACACTGCTATTATTTCTATGACAAGCTGTTGACTCCAGAACTTTTGGTGTTTGCTTTTACAATATTTGCTGCCAAGAGGAGAATAACTATCCAAAATCTCCAACAAAGCAACAGAAGTGGTTTATTACCCCGTTGGTGTAGCTGGACATCTTTTACAGAATTCTTCCTAAATCAGGCCTGCCAAATCTTGCACAATGACTACAAGTATGATGCTGAAGGCTCCTGCCTCTCACTCCCTGCATGCTCATGCATCCTCCATGCAGTGAGATTCCTTCTATTCAGGCACCTTATGTGCCTGCCACACTTCAGAGGTCTTCTGCTGACCGGACACATCACATGCAACATGTCATGGCTGACCCTCTACAAGCCTTGGCTTGCCTGCAAAGGTGGATGGCTCTCTTCATGCCACAGTCTGCCAGCCAGTGCCCAGGCCATGTAAATGTCTGGGAGAGGACATTGCAAAGTGTATTTACATGCTGTGTTAAATGTGACAGACACCTGCAGAACCAGGATCTAAACCTCAGGTGGGCACCAAACCATCACTCTGTGTTCAACCGGGAGAAATGGCCATCATTGGACAATCCTAACAGGCTGGGTCAAATTAAATCTGCGGGACAGATGTTGGTGCTTGCTATTAGGTAACTGCCTGATATCCAGAAACTTTCAACTTATGCAGAGCTGTCAGAAATAAGTTGTTGCATGCAGTTGTCCTGGAGTGAAAAATGATGGGGAAGGGAGTCTGCAAGAAATATTCCTAGTGTTTCCCAAATATTCATAAACTAATAGTGGCAGATGAGTGGGGCAAGGTGGCTTATGCAGGTGGTCACTGCTAAACCTTGTTTAGACTATGTTTTCACATCATTATTTTACAGCCAAGTGCTCAGGATCTCCTAAGGAACAAACCCTTGCATACAGCTCAAACTTCCTTTCCCATTTATTGTTTAAATAGCTGTAGAGTGTGCACAGGACTGCCTTTCCTCCAAGTGCACACTTCGGATATGCCTCCACCTGCATAACTTAAAATTTTTCCAGGCGTGCAAGAAGTTGTGGCTCACAGGTGTCCTGCTCTCCAGTGGTCCCATCTGCAATGGGGCTGAGGCACTCAAGAGTGCTTAAGGCGTGCAAGAGTGGTGATGTTCCACGGGGAATTCATTGTCTGCGTTACACTAACATGTACTCACATGGGCTCATGTCACTGGGCAAAACCCCTGCACCCTG